AAAAATGAACCTGCAGATGTTACATATGGTGTGAGAGCCCAGGCTATGTATTTGCCGAGATTGTAGTTCCCATTCAAGCCGTCTCCAGCCATTATTAGTCTCAAAGTGGGTTCCTCGTCATCGAATTTATGTCAGACTGTTTTCATTTTTGATGCGTTCAGAGTGATTGTTTTACACGCATACAACCTGGTAATATAATGACGTTTTAATAAAAATGAGTGAGATTAGGCTACGATTCAATAAACCTGTTTATTTTAACGACTTTCACATAAGTTCAGAAAATGTGAGTGCAAACAGATAAGTAATACACTGCTGCTACTTCGTTAATGTACATATACAACTAAGCCTTTTGAGCAACAGTCACAAAACGTTCGAATTCTCAAGGACACGATAAAGAAGTGCAAAGAAAATTGAAAATCTACAGCTTCGTAAACAAAATTGAATATTACAGAAACATAAAGAATTAAATACCAAACGTCTTTCCATTTCTTTACCTTAATGCAGAGTGCACTTGTTTATTGGCCTAATGAGTTCGGATGAAGCGTAACGGAGATAGCTTTTTGAACAACTAACAAACACAGCTCTATCACAATCCTCTGGAGAAAAAAAAAAACGAAAACTCTGTGAGAACCTTTCACTGTCGACTGAGATCAAACAAATGAATCACAAAATCACGTATATTTTTTTTAGGATTTTGGAACACAAAGCTCACAGGAAAGTGAGAAAAAATACGTGTAGCACATAGCTATATTCACTACAAAAATAGGTCCACTTTGACGAATGAAGGAGTTGCAGGAACAATATCCAGGACATGAGAGATTTTTTCTTATTGTGGGAAAATGAACTGAGATTCTTTTAGCATTACTTACATAGTCACCATAACGTCAGTAACGTCAACACACGAGTAATTCAACGGTGTCACTGATTTTACTTTTTTTTTTGGGTAGGGTCCACGTTATATTCCACGCTTGGTATTTCTTAGTACGTACCTTTCCAAGCAAACTTTAAATTCATATTCAACTCCGAAATGTACCAAATAATAAAATTTTGATGTCTATTTAAAAAAGTCAGTAGTTTAATCAGAACTATCCCACGTACTTCGGTAGAACATTCATTCAGAACCCTAACCTTTTGTCTCGATTTTCTATGACTCTGTTTCTTAGTACGGCCTAACCCAATAACTCATCCGGGACTTTAGGCACGGCTCACTTGAATGTTTATAGTTCAGTACTTGATCAGCGAAGAGTTTCACAATCTCCTTTTAGTTTCTTTTTTCACCGTTTTGTTTCCTCTTCTCGTGTTTCCCTCCTCCCCTCAGTAGATCACTTCGTACACCGTGGCTTTTTTATCTCCAGAACCCGTAACGATGTACTTATCATCCGAAGATATGTCACAACAGAGCACAGAGGAAACCTCCTTCGACTAAAATAAAAGAGAAAAAAAAACATTAGAGTAAGAGGTCGTGAAACTGAGCGGAAGAGAGAAGTGAACAAAGATTTAGCTAAACGACTATCCTTCCAACAAGAAATTTGTTTCGTTGAAATGTAAAGTAACTCCCTCTATTCGTGGACATTTCGTCGTCTGATGTTTCACTGTAAAATACATTCTAGCTTAAAGAGATCAGGTATGGTATAAGAAGTAAAGCAGTTTTAAAGTGAAGTAAATATTTTAGTACAAACTGTGTGGTTTCAGCGTCTGTTTGATTACGCTTTGAATAAATCAAAGACATTTTCAAAAGTAGTAGCTACCAATTAGAATGACTTGCCTAAGCTCACGAGGATATTATGAAACAAGAACACCTTATTTTCGCACTAAATTTCAATGAAGTATTATCATTATTATTAACTAAGGCTCATTGCGAAAACACAGAGATGCGTATTTATACAAGGAAGATAGTTTGTAAAAATACTGGTTTAAGAATAAGCTTACTAATGTTACAACGCATGGTATATTTGATAATTTTAAAGAAATAAAAGTCCCTCGGAGAGCGGTAAGTTTAGGGGCTTACTACACTAAAATTCAGGGTTCTACCACCCACGGTGAACAGAGCGCATTTTTGTACTGAGAAAACAACATCAGTAAATACAATTTCTATAAAAAAAAAAATTTCATTAAATTAAACCTAGCATGATAATTGGATTATATGAAAAGGTTAGTGACTAGATGAGTAATCACTAAATTATTCTTAATTTTTTTTAATAGAAATTTCAATGCTTATGTAAAGGTAAGTCCATGTAAAAAAATTGTGAGGATAATTATCTAAATTAATTGCGTCACTAATAAGACATTCAGTATACCTGAAATATACTAGCCCCATAGGGCGTCCTCCAAGCGTTAAGTAGGTTATCTTTTCCTGTGCTGACAAACCACTTCCCACAAGATGCAAACCTTAAGGAAAGAACACAGCTTTCGTGCAGATGCAACTGGTACTTGTCGGGTTTGCTACAGTGTAGAACTTCCACGTTGCTACTTTCCATGCTGTTAAATATTGGAGAATATTAGGCTTGTACTAAAATATAAACCAACAAAGATTATATCGTTAAAGGGCGCATATTCCAAGCATTTATTAGTTTTTAATTTATCAAGTTAAAAACAAAAACTAACTAACTTCCATCTGTTGCTTATAAGACCGTGGGAATTTAGTAGAAGACATTGTAAAATACATCCCACTAGGATAGTGAGTTTTAGTTTAACACTGGACATATCCCACTAAATTTGTGAGTTTTAGTTTAACACTGGACATATCCCACTAAA